GTTTTGAAGGTATGCAAGTTAGCTACAAACATTACTAATGATTTTAAATATTTTGGGTCTTTATACTTGGTGCTAACCTCATGCTCACTAATCATGTTTACTGTGAAATTTAAGAGCACATGTTCTTTGGCAAAATAGAAGCTAAAGATTACCTAATATTAGTGTCCTAAAGGCTAAACTAACAATATTACCATCTAAATAATCTCTCCCTTTTCACTCTATTATATAAAGACTAAACAATTAAGAAGTTTCTACAGTTTATGAAAATAATCCCTTTGAAATTAGAACTCTAACTTCAAAGTTTGAAGTCAATTTCTGAAATAAACAGACAAATAAAAGAGAAACAAAATTGTTTCAGTCTGTTAAAAGGGAACAGAAGTATGTTATTAGTTTTGCTTTCAGTTTACTGTGATAAAAACAACCATTTTAAAAAATGTACTTAAAACTGGGCTAAACATTGAAAGTGCCAAGAAAAAAAAAAAACTAAGTGAAAATAATCACTACAGAGATGCAAAATCTTGAAGAAAACTTCAAACCACCATTTAAAACAAATCATATAAACATTAAGTCACAAGCCCAATGCTTCTTCCCAATTCCCCAAAAGTAAACCACTTCTAATTAAAATCAAAATGTGTACTTTTAAATAATTACAGTAGAATAAACTAGCAATATCAAAATACTTCCATTGCTCTGCCGATATTTATATTATACTAATAAAGAAAGATATGAGAATCTTTAAAAACAAAAATATTCTACACTCAAGAGACCACAGCTTTGAGGGTTTAGAGTAAAATGTTCTAAAATAACTTTCATTATTAAGTATAATTAAATTTTGTTAATCAGAAATTTTAGAGAAAAGTGAGCAAGTCAGTCTACTTAATTTATTTTGGTTTAATCCTTCTTGTTTTAATCAGAGGTCATACCTGTTACATCTTTTTTTATCTAGTACTACAATGCTTTACTTATAAAAATAAAAAATCCTTGTTACATACAGTAAAAAATATAAATTTATTCATCTTTTTCTTTCAGAAACAAAGAACTGAATATATTAACAATAAGAATGTGTTCCAATAACATAATTTTATTGAAAATTTAATTACCAGAAGTGGAAACAAAAGAATGTGTGTTAGGGCATCAGAAAGGGGATTAGTATGAAAATGAAATTTTGAGACATCAGTTTGCTACTCAAATTGACATCAAATCAGCAAACAGAAGCATTAAAATTTAATTTCCAAGCCCACTTAGTAAATCTAGTCCCAGTTAGAGTATCTTTAATGTGCAAAAACTCAGTAAAAGCAAGTATTCACCATGCAAGACACAGATAGGGTTCTCTTAACCTGCTGCCCTCTAGACACATCACTCTCTGTTAAACAGGCAGCTACCGCCAGATGCTCTCACTGAAACTGGTCACAGATGGTCAGTTGTCCAGTTAACAGAACACACTGCCCTCCCAATAGCCAAAAATAAGAAGGAAAGGAGTGAGAGCAGTTAACACTTGCCCGCTTAGTGAGTTAAACCCACTTGCTTGCTGTAAGTTTGGCTAAACCCCAACAGTGACTTTCTAGAGAAGCAAGAGTAGGCCCAGGGCTCGCAAGATTAAAGGGCATCCTGAAGGTGGTCCAGTGGACAGCTGTCTGATGCTTGAATCCCCACATGTACATCCCCACTAGTCAGCCATTCAGGTCATGACTTCTGCAACTCCTGGGGTGTGGAACCTAGTGTCCAACAAGAAGGCCCTATGGCTGGGACAGAGTCCTCTGCTACCCTGCACTGCAATGAGCCCAACCACTCAGTCTAATTCCACAGTCAGGAAATACGGAGCTATTTTAGTAGGCAGGGTATACTGACTGCAACAAAATCATTTCCCAGTTTATGCATCATAAAGAGATTTTAAGCTGAATTACCCCAAACAGCATACATAAAGGACTTTACAACACAAAGGATATTACAACATAGGTAGCATATAAGTGATTTTAAAACAGACAAGGAAATTAAGGTTTATATTATTGAAAGCTATTAATTAGAGATTTTTAAAAATTTCAACAAAGACCATCCTTGCCTCTCCTCTCCCAGCCAAACCCTGGGGGACCAGGGCAATATGCAGGGACCATGTTCCAATGCAAACCGATGGCCTCTGACTACCACAACCCTGCTGGCTTCAACTGCAAAGTGCCCCATAGATGTTAGCTGTCCTTTCAAGATTCAAGATCCAGCAAGAAGCAACTGGCTGGCTTCTTGATTTAGCCGTTAGACTTGAATATGGAAATAATGCTGAAAAATATAAAAACTCAGTATCTGATGATACAAAAAAAAATGCTATCAGTGCAGCTAAAAATGCAGAGCCACTGATCAGTCTGGATGTAAATAATCCTGATTTGAAGGCTGGTATAATGGCTTTGGCTAACCTTCAGATTCAGGGTCATGATGATTACCTTGTAGTGAGTGCTCAAGGCAATTCACATGTTGGTTCTGAAACACCTGATACGGGATGCAGTTTCTAAAGCAAATCAAACAAATGAGGGATAGCTTGTTGCTCCAATTCTGTGATTGTTGCATACAGAAAAGCTCAGAGAGCCACAGACAAAATTTAATGAGGCCATAGTAGCTGTTCAGGCAATTATTACAGACCACAGACTGGGGAAAGCTGGAAGATAAACATTTTAGGGTTTCATCCTATCACCTCCTTAGTGCAACTGGGTACCATGTAAGCCCTAGTATTATAACAGTGGAACATTTTAATGGTAGGAAATTGTAACCCACTTCCACCATTCTTTTGACATTGCTTCTGTCAGTGCTGACTCTGACTAATATGTGGTTTTAAGGATGAAAAGCATGTTTGTATAAGGATGCTTAGAATTAGTTAAAAAGATACAGACTCCAATCTTCAAGCATCTCACCTCCAGAAGATTTGCTGACCTCCAACCATGGAGCCAGGATGATGTGAAGCCAGGATGACTAAACCAGGACTATCACCTGCCTTATCGAAATGGGCTGTGCTCGTCTGCACATAGAGAACTTTGCAAACCCCTCCCTTGATCTCTTTGTTCTGTTCCACTCTCCCTCCTTATAAAAAACCTCTGCCGCCAACAAGAGGTGGAGATGGGCTTTGTGACATGAGTCCTCCATCTTCCAGGAGATGGCCTTTGAGACATGAGTCCCCCATCTTCCAGATGGCTGACATCTGCAGATAAACCACTTTCCTTTACATCAGCACCTGCTTCTCGAGTATTGGCTTTCGTAGTGGCAGGCAGCCGGACCTGCTTTCGGTTACAGTATGTGTTTCAAAATCAAATGTCATATTTTCAAGGGAAGAATCCCAGAAAACTATGTCCTAGAGATTTACTATCATTGCTTTTTCTTTAAAGTTCAGGAAGTGGTGGGGGAAGATCAATGGGTATTCTTTATATATGTGCATCTGCAGAAAAGTTTTAAACAGTAAATAATTTTTTATTGCCCAAGTTTTAGCTGCTTTTTAATCTTTCCACAAGTAGAGCATTGTTTTGTTTTTATCTAATAAATTATTCATCTGATTAGAATAAGCTACCTGTATTTTTAAGAAGAGTGCTCTAGGAAGCTGATTTTTGTATCTTTAATATATTTATATTTCTTTAACAGTGAGTTTGATACATGATTTTTCACAATTGTCACAAATCCTGTTTCTTACTTGACACTGAGTACAATCTTCTTGACTAAATGATATGCATATGGAAAGGCTGAACACACTGAGAAGCCAGGACTACAAATATATGTAGCTAACTTTGGTAGTAGTAGGTTAGGCAACATCATTTCAGTATCAATGGTTTAAGGAAAGTCACCCTGGAGCATATATAATTCCTTGTCATTTATAAAGCCATGTGACAGAGATCAATAATGAAACTTATTAAACCAAAAGCAGATTCAATTAAAAGAGGACACAATAGGATTACAAGCAAAATGCCATCTGGAAAACTGTTGCAAAGAGCCGGAGGACGGGGTTCCAATTCCCTGCGTCTGAAAAGATTCCGTCCACTGCTTCTTACTGCGCAGGTAATCATGTCTAATGCTGCTCTCCTGGCCTGTGCTACCATGAGGCCAGGGCAGGAAATGGGACAGTCCATTTTGGTGCCATCGTGCCTTTTCCTTCTCACTCCCCAAAGGGCAATCTGTGACAGGGAAAGCCAGCCTGCATTGTGAAGTCAAGTATGTGGAGAAGGTGCTGTAACAGTTCAGTGGGAATTTTTTAATCACAATTAGAACTGCTGCTTTGTAGTTAAGGGTAAAAATCTACTCACGAGCACCAAACAGCTAAGTGTGCATTTTACATCTTAAGTATACATGTTTATAATTCATGTATTTATTGTAGAAATACATTACTTTCTTCTAAAAATGCTCTACATTGTGAGATTATTTTACTCAGTAAAGATAAGCTGAATATTAAATAAAACAGTGTCTTTCAGAACTGCTGGACGCAATCAGAGAGTTAGTGCTTCTTCTCTAGTGTTTCTAGATTAGAGCTACATAAAGTAAACATTTACTGTTACATAGATCATACCTAAGAGCATGGTTTTGACCATCATTTACATATACTTTATACATGTAAAATAATACCTACATAGCACTCTCAGGCAATTTCTAAGTTAAACTTAAATATTGTATTCTCTGATGTTTTGGTGATTTCATCTTTTACTTTCATACTTCACATCCACCACACACCCCACAATAGTTGATCAAGGTCTCACTCTACCAGAATTGAACTTTAGGAAGAAAAGCAGGTGCCTAGAGGTGGGGGAAAGATAGAAAGATACCACAGTTATCTAACATTTTGCCAGTTCGTTCATAATGGTGAGTTGAAGACCAGTCACTGACTAAAGCAGCAGGACACACACAGTGAGGTAGTAAAGTCGATCCTTTTTTCTTTTTTACCATTAAGTCAGTTCCACTGGCTTACTCCCCAGTAGCTTTTCTCCAAATTAGTTAGAGAGGAAGTAAAAAAGGAAAAAGTACAGTACGGACTCACTCACCTAAACCACTGAGCGTGTAGAGAAGGTCACTGGCGTCTAAGAGAACGGGTCCGTTCTCCTGCTGCCCTTCCTCTTTGTAGTAGAGCTTATAGCCCTGGATGTCTGCGGTGTCCTCCGCATCCCGCTGCCACTTCACAGAAATGGTGGTGCAGTTCAGAGGCTCCAGATGCAACTCTGGAGACTTAGGGGCTAAAAAATTCACCAGAAATATGTATATAAAAAACTCTGTAAGTCACATGAAAACACAGGGAAGTAGAAATCTCAGATCTCAAGCCAACCACTGCAAGAAAGTTCAGATCCAACAATAATAACTTTCACTTTCAAAATTTCACGATGATATTAAAGTTTGCAACAGAAATATATAAAATACTTCCTAAAAGACTACGGCATATAAATAATAACAAAATAATGTCCGTATCTGTGTATTTTTTAAAGAGATAGTGAGTACTTTCTAATTTTGACCATCCAATATTCCTCTGTGACACAGGTATTATTATTAAATCAATTAACAACGACAACGAAACCAATCATGTAACATTCCACATTAGTAAAAGAGGAAGGTCTAAAAGTTCTTAGTCTTATGGTCTTTCTATTAAACTGATGTTTTAAAAAAATATATAGCAATAATATTAATTAGGTCTCTCTCCCCCCTCTCCATATATATAAAAATATATAGGGAGGAGATAAAGATCTATATATACTTTTATATATACTTATATATCTTATATATTTATATAAAATATGTATTTAACATATTTATATATTATATATAAACATATTTAATATATTTACTATGTGTCTACTTATATAAATATATAAGTATATATTTATTTATATATAAATATTTATAAGATACATATCTTATAAAAGATATATATATTTATATATCTTTTGATAATTCAGTTTGATTTGGGCTGATCCATCCATGCAAGATTTGCTAAGCAAACAAGTATTGCAACCAGAAGTTTTACACACTAATGAGTTCAATGCACAAAGGACTGCTCAGTAAAAATGAAAATTTTTTTCTATTAAGTCCATGATCTATTGGATACTTTTATTCATAAAACAAAATTTAAAAATATAAACATAACTTAGATAAGAAAAATCTAAAGTATAAATACAGTATTATTTCTCCTCAATCATCTTTAGAAATGTACCTTGCACGCTTGTAGCTTTGGGTGTCCTATGCGAAGTCCATACTGATGACTCTCCCAGACCCACTCTGGTAGCCGCAGTAATCCGCACCAGGTAGACACTATCAGGTTTCAGACCTTTCAAAAGATACTCATGCGTGGTCCCCGGGAGCTCCAGAACTTGGATGGAGTTCTCAGTGCTTAGGCGGAACGACAGACGATAGAGAACCACTTGGCCCCTCCGATATTTAGCTGGGATTGGCAGCCAGGAGATGAGGATATCAGTGGGACTTCGACTTGTCAAACTAATTTCAGGAGGTCTCAGAGGAACTAGTCATATAAGAAAACAGGTTGCTTAAAAATTTGGAATCAAAATTGTCAATTAGCACACCAATATTGACTGAATTTTCTTCATCGCAACACATAACATAATAAAGAAGAGATATCTTCCACCCTAGCAGAGGTTTTCAGAGTACAAATTGGGGCAGGGTTGGGGAGAAGGAAAAATAACAAGGGAGGACCAATCATAGGGAACTGGAAAAAGCAAGGTTACCATCAATGTTGTTTGGGATGAATATGAGATTACTTAATACTCATACAAAAATATGAGAATAGTTCTCAATTCCACCAAAATCTCTAAAGAAGAGGAAAGAGAATTATACAAGAACTAGAAAGCTTAGGACAGCAGGGTTATAGCTTGGCAAATATTATGTTGAAGTGTAAGTGTGATACCTTAAAAATGAGTATGAATTTTGTATTCTCAATTTTATATATAGTGCTTAAGATGAAAACAACATTTTTCCTCTAAAAAACTTGAATGCAACTGGCACTCCAGGAAAATGAGTCAAGCATAGCGGGAGGCAGCTTGGCATTGTGTTTAGATAGGTTCTAGAGTCAGCCTGGGTTTGAATCCTTGTTCCACCATTTACTACTCTGTGTGACCCTGGCCAAATTAACATCCAGTTAACATCTCTGTGTCTATGTGTCTTCAGAGGTAAAATGAAGAAGACAAGAATAGCTCATTCCTATTTCAGTTAATGACAATTACTTGTCTAACTCAAGCCAAAATCCTTGGTGTCATCCTTGATCCCTCCAAACACACTCCACTTTCAATCCTGTGGCTCTGTGATTTCCACTGCCACCATCACCTTTAGCCTGTATTGTTGCAATAGCTTCCCAACAGATTTCCTTGCTTCTGCCCTTGTCCCTACTATCTATTCTCAACACATTAGCTGTTAAAATGTAAGTTATATACTGTCATTCTTCTGCTCAAAATAGCTCCCATTTTAGCCAAAGTAAAAGCCAAAGTCCTCCTTGTGCTCTATCTGCTTACATGGTCAGTTCCCATTAATTCTCTGCCTCATCTCCCCGTTTTCTACTTGTTCCCTCCCCTCCAGCCACACTTGGGCTTCAGGCCCTTAGCAACTTCCATTTCCTCTGCCTGAGATGCACTTCCCAGTCATCTGCCTAACCAGCTCCCTCATTTTCATTTCCTTCAGGTCTTCATTCAAATGTCACCTACTCAGTGAGCCCTTCTTTGGTGATTCTGTCTGAAGTCTCAAACCCTCCCAACATTTTATACTCCCTGTCCCTGCTTTTTCCCTTCTCCACAATATTTATCATTATCTCACATGATTATTTACCATGTCTATTGTCTCTCTACCCTCTCTCCCAGTAGAAAGTAAGCATCTTGAGAGCAGGGACAGTTTTGGGTTTTTGTTTTGTTTTGTTTTGTTTTTTGCTTCTTGTTCACTACTAAATGTTGAATAACACATAGCAGGTACTCAATAAATATGTATAGAATGAATGATGAACTAACAGGTAGAAAAGAAAATCAATTTATTAGGCATTTCTGAGTTCTTTATGTGTATGAACTCATAAATTCTCACAAAAACTCACTATAAGAAGTATTGTAACATAACCATTTCTACTTTATAGCTGAGGAAGCTGAAGTACAAAGAGGTCAAATCACTTGCCCAAGGTCACACAGCTTGTAAGTGAAGGAACAGATCCAGGCAGACCAGACAGAACCCACATTCTTATCCCCTATGCTCTACAATCTCTTGTAACAATAGTTGTTCTATCAGAGACTTACATAGGGACTAAATAAGACAATGGAGGAAAGGTTATTGAATAGGCAGAGCTAAGCACTCCACAAGTGTTAGTTGTATTGGCTGTGCATGCTGTGTACTCCAGGAGACACATGCATCTCCTTTTGAGAAGTATGAACTTAGAAAACAGGGAGAGACTTGTGCAGAAATCTGAAGAGCAGTGTCAGAGGTCTGTATTTTGTACACAATACAAAATCAAACAAATTAAAAAGCTGTGGAATACCAACCAAACAAAAAAAAAATCCTTAAGACATGCATGTTAGAGGTTGTTAAATATAATGGGGCAACTAGAGAGGCCATATGTACTGTGGCTCACTCCAAAATGAAAACAGATTCTTAAATGGAAACTGATATTTGAATTCAGTATCCAGATCAGTGATAACTTTGTCATTTAGTCAATCTCTGAATTTCTAAACATCTAAATAAGTGGCATTATAAAGATATAAGTAAGAGATCTGGGACCAAATCAACCAAGACAAAAAAGATTTGGGAGTCATTTCTACAAAAACGTTCTGAAAACCAAGGACGGATCATTTCTTGAGAAGGAGAAAACATTTGTAAAGAGAGAACAGTATAATTAAGCACATTTTAAGTAATTTCTTTTTCACACTGCAGGGCATAAATATGGGCCTTCTAAGCCTCTGCAGAATGAGAGTCAGAGGAAGAGACTCCACTCGCCAGTACTATCCTGACAGGAGGAATCTCCCTACACTCTAAGACCACGTCTCAGTTTCCAACACAACATCAAGTAACAAACTGAACAAGTATTATCTTCCTCTTTAAGTAGAATAATCATATTGAATCTAAAACTAAACAGATTTTATAAAATATTTTTAACTGGCAGGTATTAAATTTCATAAACCCCCAGTTTAAGAAGTCTAATACATTTGACTTCCAGTCATTATATATACTCAGTATGTAACTGTCCTTATATTTATTCATGCCTAGAGAATATACTTAAGTAAAAACTAAATAAAAAATTTTAAAAACCTGCAACATATTTACAATTTAAACTAGGAAACAAATACACTGACAAGACTAGAATTTCATTATTAAAACTTATATTATGAATTATAAATAAGTTATTTTTATTCTCATTATGTTACTATCAAAAAATGAAAGTCGGATTTGTAATAGCAAATGAGCCTGCTGGTTCACTGTACCTTTATTTTTTTAATCAAAAGGAAAATATTTTCTCTATTTTAAAACATATTTTATTTATTAAAATTGATTAAACATATTAATATTCATACTTAAACGACCAAGAATCATGTTTTCTTACCATCCTCTAAGGTATTCTGTGTCACATGGTCAGACATCTGGCTGGCTCCCATTGGCATATATGCCACAATGTAGAAAGTATAATTGCTGGCAGGTTCTAAGTCATCGATAATATAATGAGTTGTGTCATTTCCGATGACTACTTGATACTCTTCATTATTTAAACCTACATTAAAGAATTGGTTTTTAAAAATTAAGAGTATTCAAAATAAGATTAACAAAACCATTACCCTCACTGTAAAGCACTGGTCCTTGAGTCTAATCTCTATAGGTTACTTTTTGTTATCCTTTAAAAAAATGTGAATAGGAAGGTCTTTATTTTCTAAAAGTAATCACTAGTCTTGCTACAACTTACTAGTTTGCCTTTTTCCTAAAGAAATCAAACTGACAATAGTATTCTCTAAACTCCATTAACATCTAGTCAAAACCCACAGCAGAGACAATATGCAGCAGTAACACACAGAGCTTAACACTACAGAATACTGTAATTCATAAGTGTAAATTTTACTTGCTTAAACTCATGGCTTCTTTTTTCCTTTTAAACATTAATGGATAGACAGTGGGGAATGTAATGGCTCTACTCGTTACAAAAACAAACCAAACCAACGGTTGTCCTGCAGACGTTCTCATTTTGCCCCTAGAGATTCTACTAAATTTGACTGACGCAAGTTGTTCTTTTATTTATACTGAAAGCAAAAGATCTGGGAAGCACAGAATGTGCTCCAGAATGCTGTTTCACAAGGAGGTTGTTTTTTTTTTAAAGAGGAAAAAAATTCTCAGCAATTCTGAATAAAATATGCATGGCAAGGTATAGAAGAGGATTTGTCTTTGTGGGACTTAATTCCTACAAAGCAAACCTGTAAAGTGGAACAAGAGCACTGGTCGCTACTGTGCTTTGTGAACAATTCACAGTAAACGGACGTCAACTTAATCAAAACTCTCTAAGGACAGGGCCCCTTTTCCCTACACTGGATTTATAAACAAAACAGAAGGCAAATTCCACTATTAAGTTTTCCCACATTTCTGAATGAACTTGATAGCATTTTAATTAGACAAGATTACAGGCATTTCACAACAGACTGGCTAATGTCTCGTTAATTAGGAACTGCATAGTACGATTTCTGACCTACCAAACAAGGTCCTTGAGTTCGAATTAAAAAGCCTTGTTCCAACCCTGAATAGACCACTGAGTTGCATGTGGAGGCTCTAATGAAAGAACCATAATAGCGAACAAGAGTGGTCTCCACCAAAACCAGCATTCCTTTTACCTTCTTAAATCACTAAAAAGGGAATTAACATACTCCAACATGCTCAGTTATCAGACTTTCATTCTTCTTGCTACTATGACCCATGATTTAAATTCAAAATATTCCTTTTCAAAATACTACTTCAAAGGACAAAAAACAAACAACAAACTACCTGTTTCTACAGACAATTATATTATATCCCCATTTCTTGGGTGTTTTGATTTATTTTTAATGTCTATTACATAAAAGTTAGGGTGTTTGTGTACAGAACTAAAATCTGTAAACCTCTATTATGGTTTCTATGAAAAAAAATCACTAGAATTTATAAACAGTTTTTCCTTTTCCTCTAAAATTTTTGCCAAAAGAAATGATTAAGATAAAAAAGATTCCAGAAATGGAATAATAGTTCTGAATAAAAAATTGAAGACAGGTCTGATTTCTATTTTTATGTAATAAATGAGATACCAATAGTATCATGTTCAATTTTTTACCTGGTTCATATAGAGAGTTCTATATGACTTCAGAAAACATTCAAAATACATAAAATCAAATATATGGGGAATTTGATAATGTTTCCTTTCCCCCCTTTTAAAAATAACATGCTATAGTGACTATACTTTATTACATTATTTTATTAAGCAGTTACACCATTGGTTCTATGTAACTGCATACTTAAATTGGCATATTAATTCTTAGTTAAGAAATTTATATCTTTGCTGAAAGGAAATCCATAAATACACCACTCTATATATTTTACCTGGCAGAGATAGAATAAAAAAATCTATACTTATATACACAAAGTATACAACACAAAATTTAGAGAAAAATAGATACATACTGTGATAGATGATTTTACTAAAAGAGATAGAGAAAGGCAAAGAACTTCAAAAACATTATGTGGATTATGCAAAACATCATTCAAACTGAAAACAAATCCATGATAGCAAGTGGAACTTAAACACTCCTCGGCCTTGCCTGGTACCTCAATTGGTTAGAGAGAGAGAGCATCATCCTGATATGTCAAGGTTACAGGTTGGATGCCTGGTCAGGGCACATGCAAGGAGCAACCAGTGAATGTATCAATTAAGTGGAACTACAAATTGATGTTTCTCTCTCCCTTCCTCTCTCTTTAAAATAAATAAATTTAAAAAAATTTTAAATAAACACTCCTCAAATTACTTACCTTCTGCTTTCATGTAGTGCACAGAATAAGCGATAACTTTGTCTGAATTATAAAGTGGCCTCTCCCAAGCTAAAAGGATGGCTGAACTTGACATGGTTTCAGCATGCACATTATAGGGAGCGCTGGGTCGGTCTTCTGACATTACTACAGTCAGTCTGGCTCTAGATAAAATAGATCCTTGACTGTTCTCAGCCATGCACTGATAAATAGCATCATCTTCAGGAATAATCTGGTTAATTACCAATTTACTGAAGAAAGGAAAAAGAATTATTTATTTCTATGAAAAATTCTAAGAAAGATGTAAAAATAAAGTTAAATCATTGCTAAGTATACTCTCATTTTAAATGGCAAAAATAAACTAGAACAAAAAAAAATGTACAGCCAGCCCTCCCAAAGAAATGTGTATGACTTACTTAAAATTACTCTTATATTCTGAGTCTACATAGGTACTTGTGATATCCAAATCCTGTTTGCTTCAGATGACAGCTCAATTTCTTTTTAAAAAGTTGGCTTTCATTGAGAAAGTACATTACTCTGTAATAGCATCTAATTTATATAATACTGCAGTGTTCCATAAAACTGAGGTCACCAAAAATGTTTCAAGTTTTGTGTAACATAAGTGAGAATGTTACAAGGAGATTCATATTTATACTAATTAAGATGAGTTCTTTAAATCACTAAGTTTGAATTGTAGAGGAATTCTTAGAGAATCAATTATTTCTTCCTAATTTCCTGTTATGGAAGAAAGAACTGAAATCCCTAAGGGTTAACATGCTTGCTAATTACTTAGCTACCTGTCTATCAGGACTATAAGCCAAGTCTGGGGAACTGCCCAACGTTCATTTCTGTGTAGGTAACCACTTCCATGATCCACATATAAAACTGTCTATAACATGCTGATATTAAAATATTACTTTAGTTTAGTTTTAAATACCAAGATAACTAAAATATTTAATATTGTAATTACAGCCATTTCACATAAAAATTACTAAAGCCATTATATCTTATTTAAGATAGTAGCAAACTGGCATAGCCTACCTGTTGTACATTTTAATTCTACCATTTGAATGTATCTTTCTTCCATTTTTCAACCATGACATTTTGGGTGAGGGGATTCCTTCAGCCTGACATACAAATCGAGCAGTGCCAGCTCGAGGCCTCGTTAAACTTTCTGGCCATTCAACAAATAAAGGAGGAGCTACATTTAAAAAAAAGAAAAGAAAAAATATTTCTGTGGCCACAACAGGAATGATACAGAGTCAAGAAAGAGTATAGCAAATCACCAAGTCCCACCCCTGAAAATATTTGACATTTTGAGCCTCCAGTCTACACTCTGCACATATATATCCAGATGCCTTTTCTATGCATTGTTCAGTCTACTTTCCCCAGGTTCTCCCTGTTGAGAACACCCATATAAATGCCCTAAAAATATGTGTACCATAATCCAACTTTATTAAACCCAATGCACAGCCCCTTGGGAATGCTTACAGATGACCAACAGGTTAAAAGTTTAGATTGGTGAATGGGTATATGGATTTGCTGGGGGTGGGGGCTGAGGAGGAGATAAGAGGGAAGCTTAAGTAAGAAAGAATATAATGGTATGGAGGCAAACGGAATGGTGACTTCAGAATAATAGTTATATTTTAACATAGGACTTTAATATTCTCTTAAAATTGATCATTAGATTAAGTAATTTATCAACCTTCATATCAATGATACAAAATTCAAGAAAGGTGGAAGCTACGCATAAGATAAAACAGCAAATGTGAAAGTGTAAGATTCTCCTGAATGCAGAACAAAAGAAAACATACCTAACACAGTTAAAGTTGCCATGGCAACTGTAAAGTTTCGTGTGCCTGGGATAGTGGCCCGACAAACATATACTCCAGCATGTTGCAGCTTGACATCAGATATCATGAGATTACCATTTCCAAGTACCCGAGTATTAAAGACATCAATGGACTTGTGATCTATTTCAAAGGGAATATTTCAATTACAACAACGTAAATTATCTAAAATTAGTTGAAAATATCACTCTCCAAACAATCCTATCAAAAAGTATAAAATTCTCTACACTAAAACCATTTCTCTACACACTAAAATGCCAAAAAGTTAAAAGCTACCTAATTGCCAAATATGTGTTTTGTATATAAAATAAACACTTATCAGTTTTACTATAATGAACAAAGTTTAATGAAAAGACATACCAAGACGGCTCCAAGAAATGATCGGTTTGGGATTTCCTGTGGCCATGCATTCCAAAACAACAGTCTGATGAAGAGATGTCGTTACGTTCTGTGGACCTGCTATAATGGTTGGTGTGTGGAAGGATTTAGATTCCTTGGCTTTAGAGAGGAAAAGGCAGAATATAAAAATAAGTTATAAGTAAAATATAGGTGAAATGAGTGAAAATACCTATTCTTACTCACTTTTTTCTTTTTTTAAAACTTAACTGAGATACAACTCACTTAACATATAATTCACCCATCTGAAATACAATTAAATGGTTTTTAGTATTTTCCAAGTTGTGTAACCATCACCACAATCATTTTTAAAACATTTTCATCACCTCAAAAAGAGACAAAGAGACTGCATACCCATTAGCAGTCACTCCCCAATCTCCTCTCCCCACAGCCTGGCAGTCACTAAACCACTCTCTGTCTCTCCCGTTTTCCTTATTCTAGACCTATTCTTAGAAAGGGAACCATACATTACATGGTCCTTTGTGACTGGATTCTTTGAACAACATAATGTTTTCAAGATTCATCCATGTTGTAACATGTACCAGTACTTCATATTTTTTTATTGAATAACAATAGAATACTGAATTATATAAATAGAACACATTTTATTTATTCATTCATCCATCAGCTGATGGACATTTGGGTTGTTTCCACATCATTCGCTTTTAATTGTGATTCAAACATTTATTTAATTCTTTCACTAATCTTGTTAAGAATTTATGTGGCAGTGGGGAGGAGGGAAGGAGTATGAGTGTGCTTTTGTTTCCATCTTTCATACCAGGAAGCTAATAGATACTCTTAATATTAAAAGAAAGCATTAAAAATATTGTTCCAGTCTCTTAATGTTTTTTAAAAAAATGCTTTAACCTTAATGGATCTTTTGGAAAGTAATGTCTCTTGTGAAAAGAATACATTCATTTGAAGTTTAACATTGACTTTAGTCCAAGTTTTCTTCCACTATATTGAAGTAAATTTAAATTAATTATTTTAAAATAGAAACTAGCATTGCTAAATATAATTCCATTTTAATAAAACATGTATTTCTTCATATTCATCTCTCTAATTGCCCTGCTAATTATATTCATGTATGAAAAAATATAAAAAGTTATGTTCACTTAATGTTAGCAATAATGATTTCTGGGTATTGGAATTGGGGGTATTTTAAAACTTATATCTTTGTACTTTTTTACTTTTGTAAACATTACTCTTCATAATAATAAACATGCATTATTGTCATAAATGAAAATTATTTTTCTTAAATAACAAAAAATACCCAACTGGAAACAAATATCTCTTTATTGACCATGGGCAATTCTGGTAGAAATGGATGACTGTTATTCTCTTTTTTGTGTTTTGTATATTTTTTAAAAAGTGAAATATTTTTAAAAATTCAACCTTTCTTAAAGATTTTGACACTACCATAATATAAAACAAGTCAGCCTACAAAAGAAGTTGCTTTATACATAAAAATGGCCATTTTCCTAATATATTACAGTATTTTAAATAAAATTAAAGTACTACTTTATGTACTTTAAAGTTCTGTTACAGCCAGAGAATAAAAATTAATAGCTGTGCCATTAAAAACTAAACACAAAAACAAAAACAAAAACAAAAACACTTCTGTGAGGTACCTGGAGTCACTGTTAGAGAGGCTTCCATACTTTTACGCCTGTGGGCTACAGTAGCAGCAACACAACGATAATTTCCAGCATCCCTTGGGCCAACATCATAGATCTGCAATACTCCTGTTGGTAGGGTAGTTATCCTGTAAGGAGAAGAAAGATGATTAAACTCTCTGTAGTAGATTTTGTTTTTTATTTTAACATATATTCTATGATAACATTTAATACAGGGTCTGGCAGCAGTAACATCTGCTTGAGTGTGGTTGGTAGGGTAATAATATGGGTGTAATAACGTATAGTTATAATTTGAACATTTCACCTAAAATGTCATATGGGGTGCTTGAGTGTGATATTGTTATGTTACAGAATTAGATTCTTATAATTTTGTAATAAAAGATTTTATAATTAAAAAGGGGCATTATTTGTGCCAGACCCTGTATACTCAACTCTTTTTGAATCGCCAAATACATTAAAAATCTTTTAAAATATTAACTTGATTGAATTGTTTTCATTTGGGTCACTACAGTTCTCTAAAACAAGTAACTATGCAGTGTGTTGTTTTTGAAATCTATCAGTCTAATTTCACACAGAGTCTCACTTGACATGATAGCTTGGACGTAGCTAACTTGTGGCCTAGAGCTTTGTATATAATTTTTTCAGATTCCTGACTTTTTGCCTATTAATATCAATGTATTTTCCAAGGCACAACTGAATGTAAGTTAAAAAAAAAAGTGCACTTCCTTAAATAAGTCCTTCCATCTAAGGGCCCTACCATTTTAGCAAATGATTTTTGCCTATGTAGGAATACTGCTACTCAGTAGGACAGGAATCAAACTTCTTGAAATTGCTATGAGGTTCTTGAGTTTTAAACTTCAACCACCTTCAGAGCCTTAGGATATGTGTGCAAGTGTAGAGAACAGGGGACTGGGAAGTGGAAAGCAGAGACAGAAGTGGGCATCTACCAGGGCACACATGGGAGACCCTTTTCATCGGCACTGTGATTGCCAGCAGTAAAAGTGTAATTTGGTTTTTCAAATCCTTGGGCTGCAATCCATGTACTCAGGTGGTCCTATAATTGGAAAAGACATTTGAGAAAAGGAACAAAGCAGTAAGGCAGGCTCTCTGAATTCTGATCTAAACCCCCAAAACAGGAATTATGCCCCATAAGCCAGAGCATACTGATGACCTAATTCTTTGCCTAATTTTGAAGTGTCTTAAGAAGTTGATTATTGACAATGTAAATAAAAATGAGTTCATGATAGAGTGTTCGTTACTCCTGCATCTCTCCAAAGACAAATGCTGCATTTACCTGTCCATAGTTATAGGTAGAGTTGTTCGATTTAATTCCCATGTTATAATTGCAGGAGGGTTTGATGAAATCTTGCATGCAAATCTAGCAATTCCACCTTCTTGGACCTCAGTAGAAACTGGCTGAACTTCAAATGCAGAAATAGCTATAAGATAACGTTTGACAAATTCAGAATAATTACATGAACTATGATACCATACTTGGAAACAGCATTATGCTAGATAACATTTATCAGACTTGAACACTTCCTCAGATGTTAAGATCATCACAGCATAATTACCACAAAGATAATTTAGGGAATAACTGTGGAAAGACCACTGAGCAGTTGCCCAAATCATGGAGTCCGGCCTTTCCCAGGATGAAATTCTAACCAAGTTCTTAAGAAACTTACAACTTGTTTGGAGAAAAAAATTAAGATAACTGAAAAAAACCAATTAATAATAGTATTTACATACCAAACTATGTGGTACAAACTTCAAATACAGTACACTCTGTTTCAGAGGAGAGGGAAATCAATGAATTCAGATTAGACAAGTAAAAACTATTTAGAGACTGTTTTTAAATTGAGTTTTTGAATAATCTATTGGGCTTAAATGAAAGGGGGAAAATAGGAAAACATGGTGGCAATAACAAAAGTGGAAGAAAAGTAGAGATAAAATAAATTTCTAGCATAATACAAATTAAGACATCACTGAAGAATTTTGAGCAAAGAAGTGTCATGATAGTAGCATTTGGAAAAATTATGCAGGCACTGTTACACAGGATGAACTGAGAAAAGAAGAGCCTAGAATCAAGACCAATGGGCTGTTTAAATAAGAATGACAGAAATGGGTGGTGGCAGTGAGAAGGGTGAGATTCTACAGATACTTCAATGAAAACAAAAACTGTGTTTGGAATCAAATGAGGTTGGTATTGATGTTGCAGAATAAAAAAAGACAGAAAAGACAAATGATGTGCTGATAAACAGAAAGTAGAGAGACTCGAAACTATTTTTAGACTCATGTTATTCCCAAAGTACAGCTAAATCTTGAAGTGTTGATATTTTCTAGAGATAATTCTTTACCACTCTAGGCTGGCCTCCAGGAACTGGTTGTCAGGGTCCATGGTTTTATGTTTTGACAGAGTCCAGACTCCAGGTAATAGTGTGGTTTTCCTTCTCTCTCCTAAGTCTTCCAGGACATAAAAGAAGGGCTGCAATAATGGTTTTACTGCCCCCTCCTCAGATTCCAGTTGAAAAAAACATATATTCCTTTATGGTTTATCAATAAAGTGAGAAGTTATGAAGAAAAATAGAGGGACTATGGTCTAGATGACTTATGCTTCATTAGACTGGAAAGAGTAAAAAGACTAACAAATTCTGCCTTTGACTTGACTTCACTAGTTTGTAAGTTGATAGCAGGCCTTTAGAGGAATAGGGCAAAGCCAGTGAATAATGGTGAAAATAGTCTTAGAAAATATTCTTCCAAAAATGGTGGAGAGTAATTTTTTTTGTGTAAGTAACAAAAAATTCCTGCTTCCTCAAGAACACTGGTTCTCAAATGGCTTGTTGTTAGTGGATCCATAAGGTAAAAACATTCTCATAATCACAATTATGTGCCTTTTTCATTCTCATTTCTCTTGTATATACAGTATTTTCCAGAAACTACATGATGGGTGACATCACAACAGAGTCAATGCAGAAACAGATGCATGTGCGAATCCAGCTGTCTTATTAAGTTAAGACAATGCCACTCCTCCCACTAACATATTTTTTCTTTTTTGATTTGGAAAATAGTTATGTTTATTAAATGTATTATATTAATATGTAATGAGGACTTCTGGTCAAGATGGTGGCATAGGCAGACATGGATAGCCTCTTTGCACAAACACATCAAAATTACAATTAAAATATAGAACAACCATCACTCAGAACAACAGAAATTAGGTTGAATGGAAGCCTGACAACTATGGAATTAAAGAAACCACATCCATCATGACTGGTAGGAGGGGTGCAGATGCAGAACGAGCTGGTCCCATACCCATGTATGGTAGATAAAAATTTGGGAGGAATATCTCAGGGGTGAAGAATCCCAGCCCCATACCAGGCCCCCCAGCCCAGGGTTCCAGTGAGAGGAAGATAAGTCCCCACAACTTCTGGCTGCATAAAATCAGCAGGAATTAAGTTGACAGCACAAACTTCTGAAGCTCCAAGCAGTTCCTCTTAAAGAACCCCCACATAGACTCATCTACTCAGACTCACTCCTTCTGAGCTCCAGCACTGGGGTAGCAGCTTGAAAGGCACCAGTGGCATACTGGGAGAAAGTGATATTTCTGGCATCAAGGTAAGGAGAGGCCATTGTCCCTTTTCTAAATCCTCCCCCTACAGAGCCGTCAGGCAGGGGCCGTATCTGAGACTCCATCAAGCTAACACTGTTTGACCCACCTTGGAGATCCCCAGAGACTCCACCCAACTTACCAGCCCATCCAAGCTGGTTTTCCATATGAATGGCTGGTCTTGGCTCATGCTTCACAGCTTCCTAAATCCTCTCAAACAAACAACAGCTGGCCTCAGTGAGCCCCAGGCCCAGCACTAGATTCACAGCTTGGCTTTGCCTGGAAATCTCCAAGCCCAGCACAGGTAGAAGCCTTCTAACATTACTTAATAGCTCAGAAAAGGTGGCCTTGGGCAAAACACAGATGGGGGCTGACCTAGGGCTGCACCACCCGGGAAACCCCAGGGCCAGTGCACCCAGAAGACAGCTACAGACCACATCAGAGCACCACTATCCTGCCCTGCACAGCTGATCCTCCACAAATGGAGGAGAATGGTGGTCAGTGGTCACAGCCAATCCTTGCAGCTGACTGACCTGGGTAAATCATTGATCTGCCAACAGCAACCAAGGCTCAACCAAAAGAGGACGGTGTACTCAGCCCACACAAAGGACACACCTCGAGTACCCAGCTTGGGTGATAGGGGAGGCTGTGCCACTGGACCTTACAGGACACCTACTAAATTAGGCCACACTACCAAGACATAGAGTCAAAGCAGCTCTACCTAATACATAGAGCACACACAGGGAGACAAAGAAACATGGCCCAAATGAAAGAACAGATCAAAACTCCAGTAAAAGAACTAAACAAAATGGAGATAAGCAATGTACCAGATGCGGAGTTTAAAACGCTGGTTAGAAGGATGGTCAAGGAACTTAGTGAGGACCTCACAAAAAAGATCCATTCAGAAACTAAGGATACACTAACTGAAGTAAAGAACAGTTCACAGGAAACAACAGTAGAGTGGGTGAAGCCAAGAACCAAATCAATGGTATAGAACAGAAGGAAGCAAAAAACAACTAATCAGACAAGAAGAAGAAAGAATTAAAAAAATGAGTATAGTATAAGTAGCCTCTGGGACAACTTCAACAGGTTCAACATTCTCATCATAGGTGTACCAGAAGGAGAAGAAAAAGAGAAAGAAATCAGAAATCTATTTGAAAAAATAATAAAAGAAAATTTCCTTAATTTGGTGAAGGAAATAGACATGCAAGTCCAGGAAGCACAGAGAGTCCCAAACAAGATGGATGCAAAGAGGCCCACTCTAAGACACATCATAATTAAAATGCCAAAGGTTAAAGATAAAGAAGGAATCTTAAAAACAGCAATAGAAAAGAAGTTAGTTACCTACAGGGGAGTTCCCATAAGACTGTTAGCTGATTTCTCAAAAGAAACTTTGCAGGCTACATGGGACTGGTGAGAAATATTCAAAAGTCATGAAAAGCAGGGACCTATAGCCAAGATTGCTCTACCCAGTGAAGATATTTAGAATCGAAGGGCAGACAAAGAGCTTCCAAGACAAGATAAAAACTAAAGGAGTTCATCATCATTATATATTATTATATGAAATGTTAAAGGGACTTATTTAAGAAACAGATCAAAACTATGAATGATAAAGTGGCAAAAATACATTATCTAACCACAATTGAATCTAAAAGACAAACTAAGCAAACAAGAAGAACAGAGACAGGATCACAGATACAGAGAGTGTTTTGAACGTTTGTCAGATGGGAGGGAGTGGGGGAGAAGAGGTGAAGAGGTAAGATGATTAAGAAGTGCAAATAGGTAGTTACAGAACAGCCATGGGGATGAAAAGTACACTATAGGAAATGGAGTAGCCAAAAACTTATGTGTGTGACCCATGGACATGAGCAAGGTATGGAGATTGCCTTAGGGAGTGGGGGCAGGGGCTGGGTGGAGGGAGGCCAAGAGGGAAAAGCCAGAACAACTGTAATAGCATAATCAATAAAATATAACTTAAATAAATAAAACTTAAAAATATGTAATAAATCAATGTTTTCATTTGTAAATTAGTATTTAAAAATTTTGTTTTAATTTCTAATAAGTATCAATAGATATAACCTACACAAATAAAAGCTCTTTGGGGTCTCAATTAGTTTTAAGAGTATAAAGTGTGAGACGAAAATGTCTGAAAACCTTTATTCAAGAACACCAAACTCTACAAATCATTACAGTGTTTCTTTTTAAATTGCTTCTCTAATCACTTTCTAGGATGTTCATCTACTTAAAAACTTTTTTATTCTGGATCAAACCAATGCCCTACCTACTGACAAATGAGAGAATAGATGGTTACATTTTTCTTCAAAATATCAGGTTAATATTCACAACAGCCTGATTTCTTATTAACAATGTAGCTTAGTTTTCTACAATTAACAAAACTGTGTCAAACATTCATATTTTGGGGGAACGAAGATCTAAGTTTCTATAAATCTAATGTCTGCTTTACGAAGTACTAATCTCTCCTGTTGTTCCCATAATACCTTTTCCATGTGTAAAGGGGGTGACATTTAGTTCTGGCCATCACTGATAATTACACACTTCAAGGTGGGAATTTTACCTTATTCTTCTCCAGCCTTCACCTCTCTAGTCTGAAATATCTAGTACAGTTCAACTTTTCTTCATAAAGCAGTTCTTCCAGCCCTATTTGAACAATTTCTTCTTTGATTACCCCACAATGAACTAAGCACTCAATTGAGAATGCAAACTATTTCTTTATCATTATCATCCTAGTTCTAAGCCCATATACTTTTTCTCATCAAAAAGCGAAACACTTAGAGCTTAGAGGTAGGGAAGCCATTTAAGAAGCTACTAGAA